GTGGTCTTTGCATGATAGTTTAAAGATAATAGTTTTTATGTGAAATTTGCTGTACTCTGTGGCTAATTAGAAGGCGGTATTCCTAAAAGATATAGATTTATACTTGAATAGTTTTAACAGCATATGTTTAGACATTAAAACTAAGCCATTTGCTTAAAGTCAGCTTTATAGGGCTTGCACTGATGTATTGTGGCAGTGAAATAACTATTATCAGTGAGATACTCTTCCACTTATTGTTCATTACATGTAGAATTCTTCTGAGCACCTCTTGGTAGGAGTGTTATTGCTTGGATTTTCAGTCTTTTCTAATTCTTTGTTAGGCTCAAAAATGTCTTTGATTCCTAACAGTTAACTCTTACGGAGCATTAGAGGATACAAAATTAGATTTCTGAGATAGTACAAAGGAATTATTTCATTACTGAGGATTTTGTGATAAACTGTGTGTGGAAATCCTAGGAGTTTTCAAATTCTTAGTGGCCAGTCCACCCCCGATTCACCCTTTTTAGTCATTTGCATGGAAATTTCTTTGAAATAATTTTCAGGACTTAGGGAAACTGCATGAAATTTATTTTATCTATAGCCGTGGTACATTACTATGATCATCCCCAATTCCCTGCTTATCATAGCCCTATTAATCATCAGAATACTTCAGTGAGACTGGTTGTTTTTAGTAGCGTAATTGTAATTTGTAAGGGGTCAAAGGCGATTTGAATATACAATGCTTTTAGTCTTATATTTTTAGAAAGTTAGTATCAGCTCTACTGCGTCATCCCTAAATAACCTCAAAGAACACAAAGCAGTGTGGTAGACTGAATAATGGCCACCCAAGGATGCCAGGTCTTAGTTCCTGGAACCTGTAAGTGTTACCTTATAAGAAAAAGGGATTTTTTGCAAAGGTGATTAAACTAAGTATCTTAGGATGAGATTCTCCAGGATTTTCCAGGTGGATCCAAACTCCAATTGCAGGTGTCTTTGTAGGATAGTGGCAGAGGCAGAATTAATACAAAAGAGGGAGGCAGTGTGACCACAGAGGCAGATATTGGAGTGATGTGGCGATAAGAAAGAGGCAATGAACAAATTTTTTTCCTGGAGCTTCCTTGGGACATATGGCTCTGTGGAAACTTTGGTTTTGGCTCAGTGTTATTGACTTCAGACTTGTGATCTCCCAGTCTGTGAAGGTGTACGTTTTTGTTGTCTTAAGATTTGTGGTTTGTGGTGATTTGTTATGGCAGCCCTAGGAAACTAATTCAAGCAGCAAATTTTCCCCACTCTTGTTTTGACTTATACCCTATTCATAGCACAACAATTATCCAAGAAGCTTCTTAGAAAGTTTAGACTTCCTGTGCCTCATCACAGATACAGGGAATCAGAATTTCTAGAAATGAGATCCAAGGACTTGTATCTTTACCAAACTGCCCTGTTGATTCTGATGTGCACAAGGTTTGATAAAACATTTCACTGGGATGCTGTAAAAAAAAATGTCTGCAAATTTGATGGTTTAGGACAGGGGTCGGCAAACTGCGGTTCATGAGCCACATGCGGCTCTTTGGGGTGCGTTCTGTCTCAAAAGTTTGCATACCCCTGGAAGAGCCAATCCTGCCCCTCACAACAATTTAAAAATTATTCGAGAGTCATAAATATATTTTTACATAATCGCCATTAGGTGAATAATATCCTTTAAAAGTTTTATAGATGAAACTATGATAGTTTTATTTTCATTTTCAATTTTACTTCAGAGCCACATGCATGTACCTAAAGAGCCGCATGTGGCTCGCGAGCTGCAGTTTGCTGACCTCATTTTAGGATAACACAAATTTATTCTTTTATGGTTTGGGGGTCAGAGGTTCAAGGTGAATTTAAATGGACTAAAGTCAGCAGGGCTGACGTCTCCTTCTGAACTCTAGGAAAGGAAAATGTTTCCTTACCTTTTTCAACTTATGGTAGTTGCCTGTATTCTCCATGTTCAAAGTACATCACTCCAGTCTCTGTTCATGTCATCAAATCACCTGTGATTCTCACTTCTGTGTCCCTCTTATAAGGACCATTGTGGTTGCATTGAACCCACCCCTGATGATCTTGGATGGTCGTCTTCATTTTAGAGTCTTTATATTGATTGTATCTGCAAATTCCCTTTTGCCATGTAGGATAACATTCATGGGTGCCTGGGATTAAGATGTGAATATATTGGGGGAACCATTATTCAGTTTATTATAGACCCCATGATACCATCTCATGTAGAAACGATAAATGTAAATTAAGTTCAATAACAGACTGTTGTTCTTAATTCATTATGTTTTTTTGTGCTTGTTTTTCCAAATCCATTTGGAATCAAAACATTTTTTAAAAAAACAGAATGATTCAATAATAATTTTCAATGGTCTTTTGAGTAGAGGACATTTTTCTGTGGATATTTGGACAGCTTTTTAGCATATCCTTTTTATGTGGTTCCCATTCCCCACAAAGTATATCAATTCTAGTATAAGTTTGTAGCGTAAGTGGAGGAAACTGCAGTTTTTCCTCTTTAAAGATCTCTTTCCATTTTCTACCTTAGCCAGTTTGGCCAAAAAGTTTTGTGAAAATTTTATATTATAATTATGATATGTAGAACAGTAGTCCCCTCCCCTGCCAAAAAAATCCCACAAAAAATGACTTGTCAGTTTTTCTAATAGAATAAAATTGTAGTTTTTAGCTTATCTTTTTTTAAATCTCTTTCCTTTACATTAATTTTAAAAACAGATAAGGCTTTCAGTAATAGAACAGCTAGGCAGAAGATCAACAAGGAAATAGAAGACATGAACAATACAGTAAATCAATTAGACCTAACAGGTATCTATAGAACGCTCCACCCAACAGCAGCAAAATACACATCCCTCTCAAGGGCATATGGAACACTTTACAAAATAGATCGTATTTTAGACTATAAAACAACCCTCAATATAAAAAGATAAAATCACACAAAGTATTTTATTTAACCACATTGGAATGAAATTACAAACCAATAACTGAGGGAAAGTTGGAAAATTAACAAATGTGTGTAAATGACAAGCTCCTAAAGAATCAGTTGGTCAAGGAAGAAATCACATGGAAAATTAGAAAATATTTAGGGATGAATGAAAACGAAAGCACAACATAATAAAATATGGGATGCAGGTATAGCAATGTTTAAAAGGAAATTTATAGCTGTAAATGCCTATGTTAAAATAGAAGAAAGTTCTCAAACTTATAATCTAACTTTCTACCTTAGGAAACAAAAATAAGAGCAAACTAAATACAAAACAAGTATAAGGAAGTAAATGAAGGCTAAAGAAAAAGTACAGTAAAAGACAAAAGGAAAACAGAAAAGCGTTGAAACCATAAGTTGGTTCTTTGGAAAGATCAACATAATTGATAACTCTTTAGCTGTACCTATAAAGTAATAGAGGAGATACAAATAACTAAAATAAAAAATGAAATAGCATCACTACTGACCTTAACAGAAATAAAAGAATTGTAAAGGAATGCTATAAAGAGTTGTATATCAAGATATTAAGTTCTTTGTCTTGGCCACCATAAATAAAGCTGCAATGAACATTGGAGCACATACATCTTTACCAATAAATGTTTTCAGATTTTTTCAGTCCTTCGATAGATGACTGGATAAAGAAGATGTGGTATATATACACAATGGAATACTATTCTGCCATAAGAAAAGATGGCATAGCACCATTTGCGACAACATAGATGGATCTGGAGATTATGCTAAGCAAAATATGTCAGACAGAAAAAGTCGAGAACCATACAGTTTCACTGATACGTGGGATATAAAATTGAAAACAACAAAAGAACAAGACAAATAAAGAAACAAAAACTCATAGACACAGACAATACTGTAGGGGTAATGGGGGGGGGGGCGAGGGGAAAGTAGATAAGGGTAAAGAAGATCATATATATGGTGATGAAAGGAGAACTGACTCTGGGTGCTGAACACACAATGTGATATATAGATGATGTATTAAAGAATTGTACACCTGAAACCTATGTAACTTTCTTTACTAACCATTGTTACCCCAATAAACTTTAGTTTAAAAAAAAATTAGATGCCTCATTTTGACAGCAGTGATTTCTGTCATCCACAGTGGAAATACCTCTAATCGTGTAAAATAATCAGTACTGCATTTTTATTTGATGTTTGATATGATTACTAAATTTTCTCTTCACTTTTGGAGGCAAGAGTTCCTAATTATCAGCACATTTACATCTTTTAAAACTGTGGACAGAAGAATTCCAAAAATGCGCTGTTTTTCTCTTAATTAGCTTTGTTATTTTGCATTTTACGCCCTTGATAGTTTTGTCATATTAATGAAATATGCGTTCATTTCATTTTCACTTAACTTTCACAGAAAAATGTAATTTTGTTGAAATTCCTCTGGGCAGAAGAACTGTAATGTTTTCAACATGAAAAACATAATTTTTAGAAGTACTTTTTTCTGTAAGAATAGTTGTAATGAGTTACTAAAGGACTACACAGAAAGAGGCTTTATCTACAATAAAACAAGAGTTTGTAATCTAGGGTCCGTGGATAGAATTTATGGGCTATATGAGCCTGAATAAGAAAAATTACATATTAATATTCACTAACCTCCAACAAAACTATAGCATTTTTCTAATTATTTCTATATATTGTTAATGATATCTTAAAATTATTTACCTTTATCAATACTTCAAAATTTCAGGTAATTGTTAGACTTTCTGCTATATTTTTTTATTTAATGCATTAATAAAGTACACATATTACTATATCACAGATTTGTCTTTTAATATTTTAGTAATTTCTGTATAATGGGTTTCTTTTGTAATCCTATTTATGTGTTCCAAAACATTATTCTAAGAAAGAGGGTCTGTAAGCTTCTCTACACTGCCAAAGGAGTTCATGGAACAGATAAAGTTAAAACCCATAATTTAGAAACACCTAGGTTGAAATAGATAATTCTTAAGTCTTGAACTATTTTTTTTTTGATCAGGTGTAGGTAATAGCAGTGAAGGTGGAAGAGGAAAAGCAGGTGCAAAACTTTTCCAAGATTTTCAGATGTTAAGTAGAATCTGGACTCATCCTTGGTGTTTGCAGCTGGACTACATTAGCAAAGAAAATAAGGTAAATCAAGTAAGCTAAAATTGATTAAAAGGTGTCTGTTGGAGGCAGAATAGTAACTTTAGGGGAAAGGGTGATGTATATAGACACTGCATGTTCAGATTTTCTTTTGCTTTGTGGTACAGTAACTCTTCCTATTGTATTCCAGTTAATTTCTATACATTTGAATGTATTATGATTATGGAAGGAACATTCGATGTTAATCTTAACATCTTTTGTAACCATAGTAAAATGATCAAACCTAAGAAATTAACGTTGTGTCAGTACTATTAACTAAATAGCAGACTTTAATTGGATTTCATCAGTTTTTGTACTTAACATCCTTTTTCTTTTTTATGATCAATTCAAGACCTCACAATGCACTTGGTAGTCATATCTGTCATGTTGCCTTTATTTTTCTGATTCATGATAGGTAGTTCCTTAGTTCTTTCTCATCTCATGACAGTTAACTTATACTTAAAGAAATAAGCATCATTATAATTTCCAATATAAGTTGAAATAAACTATTAAAACATTCATCATTTTTTTTCTCTAGGGATATTTTGATGAAGACAGTATGGATGAATTTATAGCTTCAGATTCCGATGAAACCTCCATGAGTTTAAGCTCGGATGATTATGCAAAGTAAATTGAATGCTTTTGTGCCCTGTGTTGTGCCATTAAAAATCCCTACTTGCTGATTGTCCTGATAATTGGCACTTGTATCTTTACTATGCTTTCCTAATAGTTTGAATTTATTCTTTCTTTAGAAAGAAGAAAACTAAGGGGAAAAAGGGAAAAAAGGGGAGTAGCTCAAGTGGAAGTGGTAGTGACAATGATGTTGAAGTCATTAAAGTCTGGAATTCAAGATCTCGAGGAGGTGGTGAAGGAAATGTGGATGAAACAGGAAACAATCCCTCAGTTTCTATAAAACTGGAAGAAAGTAAGTCTAATGAGTGTTGCCTTTATTATGGAACATTGATTTAGAAAATATGACTTTATCATGTCACTGCTTTTTTCAGTTATTCTAACTAGTTGGCTCAAAGGAACCTCTTTCCTCAATTAGTAAGTATCTAGGAAAATCGGGTATATACATAATAACAAGAAATGCCTGATGAAAATTTTAATTATAAGCAAGCATTGTGCTGTCTCGTGTTTAAGAGGAAAGGAAAAAAGAAAAAGTAATGTTTATTTACATGTATACAACTAAGCTTTGTATTATTTTCACTCCATGTGTTAGGGAGCACCCTTGCAATGTTATTGATATCTTTATTTTTATAAATAATTGGTAGAAGTGGGATTCAGCACTAGATACATCCAATGTCCAAGCCACCTTGGTATTTTCACTTAACTATTTATAAATAATGTGAAGCATTTCAGGGAATCAAGTATGATTATAATTAATTTTATATAGTGAAATTAGTTTTAATGGTTTAGTCTTTTTCCTTTGTAATTCTTCATAATTTATCATTGTTGCCCACTTTAGGTCTCCCCTGTATCATGTACAGTTTGAGTCAACTCTTTTGCTTTCTCTTTTTTTCTGTTGTGCATGAGTGTACACACAGTGAAAGTTTTTGATTGAACTGCCTAATGGCTAAAGTTGTGTTTACCTGTATTTACATTTGAAAAATTAGTGTTGAGACTCCATATCCTCCCAGTACAGCCTGACTCGGTATCTGAGAACTCTAAAGTTTGGGTCTAAATATCTGAATATTTGAAATAGCAAACCAAACATCTAAAGACAGAACAGTGTAAATAGCTGTACATTTTTGGCATTTGGGAGTCATGGAGCCAAGCAGTTGAATGTCTGTGAAGAGAAGAGAGATGTGGATGCCAATTAGGTAAATGATCCTGTACTCAAGGTTAGCTGGTCCCAGGCCTGCAACTGAACTATTTTGGCAATCCCTTGATAAAATTTCTCTCTTCGTTACCTCCTTGGAATAGACAGATGGCAGCCTAACCACAGACCCTGGCTTACTTCTCAAGAAATTAGGAGAATAGTAAAAATTAAACTACAAAATTTCTGTCCTGTTCTTTTCTCCTGTTACCCTGTAAAGGCAGTTTATTAGTGTTCATCTTCCAATTAGATTTAAAGAACATTTTTTCTAAGAATAGTAAAGGAATGGTTATAGTTTAATTTTAGGTAATGTGAAGCTCCTGTTATCTCCCCCCTTACTCTCCCAATCTGCATTTTCACTTAAAATTCTCCTCAATCTCATCTCATAATTAGAAATAAATAGCTTAGAGTTTGTGTTCCTGGGAATGATTTTTTTAAAAATATTTTTTTGAAATTTTTTCTCATAACTTACAGTTCAGAGAGGAGAGAGAGTAGGCTTACCAGAATGACTCATCCTGTGCTATAAATGGGTTACATAAATGTATGCTGAGGTATTGATCCCTTCATCACTTGGAAGTACAGGTGGGGTCTGAGGCATTGGAGTCACCTTCAGAAATGAGTAGCTTCTTCCATTTTTCTTGGTGTTGCATATAAGTGTTATTGCTTTCTGTATATGCCATAATGTGAAAAAGGTTGGAAAGAATTGGGGCAGAGAGTGGGTGGCTACATGTTATAAGCTTAAAAGCAGCCAAAGCAAGGCTGTGGGTTCCAAATGACAAACTGACTACTTGTTTAGGGCCTTTGTTTCATTTTAGCTGTGTGCAGTCAAGTAGAAGTCATTCACATATGGATATATTTTATATTTTTGCAACTGAGTACATGTATAGTTTATCAGAAACATTTTTTAGAACAAATAGATGATAAAAATCTACTGTTTGTTTTGTAGATCTAGATTAACTCTATATAAAGCTGAGTAGATCATAGTAAATGAACATACTCATATATAGCTGGTACTGTAATCTTTTTAAATTACTTTTTTATACTAAATATAAGAAAACCCAAAGAGGAAGTATTGAAGGGCCAAAATGTTGTACCTGGGATTTGAAATGGATATTACCATAATTTGACGTGTATAATGTGGACCTGTGTATAATGCACACCCACATTTTTGGCCCAAACTTTTGGGGAAAAAATCTTTTGTTTTACTTTTTTAACTCAAATTTTTATTTGTTTACATTTAGGTACTTATTTTTTGTATTATAAAGGAATTTTAGCATTTATTTTTTAATATATTATGGTACAAGAAATTTTATATACTGGTAACAAATTTACAATATTTACGTGTCCTAGAATGCCAAAAACCCTTCATTGTTGGAAGTTCGTTGTAAGTTCGCCGAAACCGATAGTCATTCCAGGGTATTATTTTGCATACAGGTATCGTTATTGATTTCTGCAGTTACCCTTTTAACTCATCAGCATAAATAAAAGAGTTAAAAACATTTATATAGATACGGAATTAGTACTACCCATATATAATGTGCATCCTTATTTTTCCTTCACAAATTTGGGCAAAAAAGTGCACATTATACACGGCAAAATACAGTAAATAAGTAGATGGCTATAATTGAGCTATAATATGATTTTCACTATATATTTCAGTTTTACTTCAAAGAGTTTCTGTTTAATTTATTTGCAGTAGCTTTCTGAATTTTCTAAGAAGCAGAGTCTTGAATAAGTCATTTAAATATACCTTATAGCATCTCCATTTCTGTTTTCGTATTTTATTAGGACAGTTATGTGTTGTGGAAATGACTACATAAGCTACTTCAAAATATTAAATTTATTATTATTTCAGTATTTTTAGAGTAAGCTTTATTGAACATTTACATTTTAAAATGTATGTAATTAATTGTATGGATATCATCTTTTATGATAGAATTTTTGCATATGACGTAGGGCCATAATATTAGCACTAGTATACTATATTTGTTCATTCAAATATTTATTGAGTGCTTACCATGTAACAGGCACTGCTGTAGAAACTTTTATTATATAAGTGAACAAAATGCACTCATGGAGCTTGCAATTCTACTAGTACTACTGTTTATACACATAATGTTTTAATGATATGCTACCTTTCTTTTTTTTTTAAAGATTTTTTTTGAATTGGGGGGATGGGAACAGTGCTGGGGAATTGGGGAAAGGGGAACAGACAAGTTGCTGTCGTTTTGTTCTTCAATCTAGTTGTGGAGGATGTTGCTTCACTGGCCCAAGTTGGCACCATCATTGCGCTCTTCTCTGGCGAGGCAGATCAGTCGCCGGCTTCTGGACGGCCGCTCACTGCGGCTGCTGGCCGCTCACGCTGGCTGCTGGCCACACACGGTAGCCCATGACAATCCACTGCCACAGGGACTGCAGCCCACGCCGTCGCCGGCGACTCACGGCAGCCCAGCTCCAGGTTGAGCTGTTGTTCAGCATCTTAGCTGTAGAGGGCAGTGTCACTGGCCCTCATATGTGGGATCCGAACCGGGGCCCTCTGGCATCCCAAGCGAGTTCTTAACCATCTCGCCACTCGGCCGGCCCACTACCTTTCTTTTTAAAACTTGCTATCAAGTTTTGCTATCAATTGATCTAGCTATCATATTGATCTTGCTATCAATATGGTAAATATATATTTGGAATGCTTCAAGAAATTAGGGGTAAAGGTATTGCTTTCTATTTGTATTTTCTTTTTTTTAATTTGATATGATTTTTTTATTTGATATGATTTGTTGTGTGTATGTGTGCCTTACCTTATAAGCATTTTGTGGTATCCAGAGTGGATATTAGGGAGTAGCTTTGATTAATTAGTTAATCAATTCACTGTTCCTCCTCTCTCTCTCTCTCTCTTTCTGTCTCTCTTTCTCTCTCTCTGTTGCTCTGTCTCTCTCTCACGCACACACACACAGCATAGCACAAATTTATAACAAGTAATGATTAATTCATGAGAATGATGAAATAAGAATATTCAGCATAAAATATCTATTAGTTTAATTACATATTCAGAATATTTATTAACTGAGTAGCCCATATATTTCTGGGTCTCTTTTCTATTTTTTAGACATTACTGTAAGGTATTGTGATTATATCCAATAGGATCAAAACTAGAATGGAATCTATTGCGTTTGCTCAGAAATTGTTGCCTATCCTAAGCTTTGATTTGAGACTTCTTATTTAACTGCCACATTTTTACTAACTTTCTGCTAGCATTCTTTTATTGCTGACATTTTCACCTTAGATAAATTACCTTTAGTAAATTTGGATAACCAATGCTGAAGTTGTGCACAATGTGTGCAACTGCAGAATTCCCCATAGGTACTGGTCATGTGCAAGTTGACTAATCGTAGGATGGAGATTAGTCAACCTTTGCTTGATTAGCTATGTGGCAGGGGTCCCTAAGACCACTGCCAGGTTCAGTGATTCACAGGACTCAGCATATAGTCATATTCAAGACTACTTTATTACAATGAAAGGGTGCAAAGCAAAATCAGCAAAGGGAAAAGGTACATAGGGCGAAGTCCAGAGGAAATCAGGCATAACCTTCCAACAGTCATCACCCAGTGAAGTCACATAGGATGTACTAATTTCTCCAGCAAGAAGTTATGACAATGTATGTGAAGTGTGATCTACCAGAGAAGCTCAATAGAGACTAAGTGCCAAAGCTTTTTATTGGAGACTGGTCACACAGGCAATGTCTGCCTGGCTCTTATCAAATCCCAGTCTCCCAGAAAGAAAATATGTGTTCAGAATAGATCACATTGTTTGTACAAGCAATCTAGGCACAGTGAGCCACTCTTTATCATGGAAAGTTCTGTATCAGTACAGGGAACTGTTTACCATTCAAGTTCCCAGACAACAGTCAAGAGCCAGCCTTGTAAGGAAGCTTTTCTAAGATGAAGTTTTAGTCAATTTGTGAAGGATAGTAAATATGAATAGACGTTTGCCAGGCAAAGAGAGGAAGAAAATAATAACACATTGAAGAAAAGGTATGTAATCTTGCAAATATGTGAAACGTTTAGGATTCTGATTTGAATATAAATGTATAATCAGCTCTGTAAAAGTAATGGAAATCACTAGGACCCAGATGCAAAAAGAGGAAGCTGATAACGTAAATTGTAAGTTCAAGAAAGTGTGTTATGGAAGCCATGGGGATATGCTAGTCTTGAGACGAGCAGTTTTGTTTCTCACCTACCCAGGGATAGGATACAAGGCCTTGAACAATTTATAAGGTGTAGAGTTCCTAGAACCCAAATTAAAGCTGAATCTCTTTACAGAGTACATACTACATGGAAGAGTAGAGTAGAAAAAAAATGTTTCGATCCTTCAATCCAGGGAAATGACAAGAAAGCTTATCTGTTTCACCTTGGGCTCTGGGCTGGGGGGAAAAATTCCTTGGATTCATAATCATGGGCTTTCCCTCACAGAGTTGATGCTTTGAATTTACATTACTTACATAGCCTAAAAATTTCAAGCTGAAATACTAACCTCAAAAGTAATTCTAGATTGGTGACACCTTGGAGCATCTGGAAGAAGCAAATGCAGAATCAGTGGAGATAAATTACCTCAACCCACACTACCCAAGATTCTCCCATATTTCAGCTATAGTAAAAGTGAAATGATCATTAAAAATTACAGAATACCTGAGGAAACAATTAACCTTAGGAAAAATTAGCAACAAAATAAGTTAGCAGTCAACCTGATGAAAGTTATTACACAAAACAAACAGCATGATTAGATTCTCAAGAACCTCAGAAAATAGAACTATTTGATAATAACTATAAAATACGTATGTTTAAAGTGATATTTCAAAAATTATAAATATAACTTTATGCCAGACAATTTAAAACTTAGATGAAATTGACAACATTCTAGAAAAATATAACAGCATTGAGTCGTCATTGCAGTCATTTCACAGTAGCCAAAAATTAGAAATAACTTAAATGTCTATGAACATGAGAACTAATAACTGATAGTATATTTATGCAGTAGACTAATACATGACAGAATACTGAATAATGAATAAGTCTTACTTTGAACGAAAAATATAAAACTACGATGAGTTAAAAAGTTGTAGAATGATACACGTAGTGTGGTATATACAGTACGTCCTCACCTAATGTTGTCTATATGTTCTGCGACTTTAAGTGAAACGATGTATAACGAAACCAGTTTTGCCATAGGCTAATTGATATAAACAAGAATTAAGTTTCTGTGGCATCTCATCAATGTTATAACAAAGCAACTTTGAACAAAACAACATTATTCTAGGGCCTGCTGTAGTTTAATAACATGAAAGATAATGCACAGTTTAGGGATATACATGTAGTGAACATATAATAACATACACAGAATAGTAAATTTAGAATTTAGGGTTTTATCTCTCAAAGAAGGGAGAGAAAGAAAAAAATGTGATTGGATAGGGTCATATATTAGGCTTCAACTGCATCAGAAGCAGATTTAACAATTGTTAGAATTTGATAAATGTAGGATGTAGGAACACAGTTGTTCAATATATTCTATATACATTTCTGGATATGTAAAATATTATAAAAATACATAAAAATTTAAAATAACTTGCATTAAAAAGCAATTTAGAAAAGGTACAAAAAACATGTTAAACCTGTATATTCCTTATTTTGAATTGAACTGTTTATGTTTACATCTTTAATTATTTTGTGACACTTTCTTTTTAAACCTTTATAGTCAAGGTTTGTGGTAAAAATAAGAACAAAATGATTTAATATGATATGGTGATTCTGGGATCAATACTTGTTTGAATTTTCCAGAATTCTAGTAGCACAGTCAAATTTTTCCTGTTCGTGCCCCTAAGATCTTTTCTCTCTTCATCTCTGAGTTAGTCAGTCTCCCTTGCATTCTTCCTTTCCTTCCTTCCTCTCTCTGTCTCTGATTGGATCTCTTTCTTTCCTAGTCTGAGTTTCTTGGGATGTTTTGGCGGTTATACTCTCTCTAGGGCCTCTGTCTCTTAGCATCTTTGTCTTTCTGAGCCCCCTACCTACCTTTGTATTTCTCTAGTCTAAAGCTGTCTCTCCCCTAGGGTTGTCGTTTTTCTCTCTGAACATGAGCCTGCGTGCGCACGCGTATGTGTGTGTGTTTCATTCCCCTCTCCCAAATCCCTATCAGTTTCTTTCTCACTCTCTCCCTGGGTTGGTCTATATCTGTTTCTCTTGGTCTCTTTCTTAATCCCTCTCTTGGGGTCTTTGAGTTTCTTTCCTTATTTGCCTACTTATTTACGTTTTATTTATTTTATTTAGGTAAAGCTACTTCCTCTTCTAATCCAAGCAGTCCAGCTCCAGATTGGTACAAAGATTTTGTTACAGATGCTGATGCTGAGATTTTAGAACATTCTGGCAAAATGGTACTTCTCTTTGAAATTCTTCGAATGGCAGAGGAAATTGGGGATAAAGTGTAAGTTCTTTCCTATTTTTATTAAATGAAACTTTTAATCTTTCTATTGTTTAAACAATTTATTTGAAGAAATCTGTTTTCTTCCTTTCTAAACATGTCATTACTTTGGTTAGTGTAGTGATAGACATCTAGCTTCCTTCTAAGCCACTAGTTCTTAGTGCATATTTTGATTATTTTTTTCAGTACCAATTTCCCCTTTTGGCTGTTTCACTTTGAACTTATTTCCTTGAGCCATGCTTCTGGTTAATGTCTATATTTTACCATCTTCAAAATCAGTTTTCAGTCTATCCAGCGTGGCTTCTATCCTGTCACTTTACTGAGATTTTTTTCTCCCGAAGTCGCTTACCCCCTTTTGACTTTATTTTATATTCTTTCTTTATCATGTCTCCTTTGTTTTTAGTCCTTGTTTGTTTTACTTCTAGCATTTGTTCTCCCATTTCCTTCCCTGTATCTCTGGTCCCCCACCCCAGCAACTCATTCTTCAAAATACTTTTCAAAAAACATACTCATAAAGTTTTGAACCAAGCTTATTGTTTAGGCTGCTATAAGGTCCCAACATCTGATCACAACATATTTTAAAAATATATCGGTGATGTGTTTAATAACAATTTAACATAAGACTGAAAAAAAAAGTCATCTTTGACATTATTCAAAGATGACTCCCAGGCTTCCAGCCTAAGTGGCTGGTGGATTATGGTGTTGTTTTACTAAAATAGACAAGATTAGGGGAGAACTAAGTTTAGTAGAGATAGTAAAGACTCTTACTCTGCCTATGTTAAGTTGGAGAGGCCTATTAACTATCCATGAGAGATGTCAAGTAGAAAGTGGATACTTGAGTTCAACATTTCTGAAAGGTAAGGAGAGATTATTGCTCTAGACATGCTCATGCTTTTTTCTACTATCGACTTCTGTGGTTCAAAATTAATTTTTATTTGTGTACCATACAACAATTTTAAGTGTGTAGAAGGGATTTTAGTAGTGTTTTAATTTCCTAACTAGTGCAAGAATCTCTTCTACCATGTTTATCATAGATATTGTCCTAGCCTCTAGAATGGAATATTTGCCATCTCATAAGGCTACCTATAGTTGAATAATAGTTCAAATTGTTAGAAAATGTATCCTTATCTTTAGTTTATACACTATCCCTATAGCTATTTCCCTTCTGGTCTAAAATAGAATATATCTACTGCTTTTTTTACTTAACCCTTATTAATGATCATTTTTTGTTATAAACCCAACTGATATTATCAGTGTTAGGAATGTAAAACTGTGCCATTTACAGAACTGAGATTACCACTATTCTTTGTCCAACATTTCATTATGGAAAATTTTAAACAGAACGAAAAACAAAGAATTTTATAGTGGATACCCATATACCTGTCACCTAGAATTGATACTGTAGTCTATATTTTATTGTATTTTCTTCATTATATATCTATTTATTTCTCCACCCCTCTGTCCATCTTATTTTTCTGATGCCTGTCAAAGTAGGTTGCACTAGTATAATTTTAATTGTCTCCTCCTCAAATAATGGTGGGTGTGTCTCTTGTCATGTTTAGCTTTTCCTCTTAATTCATTGATCTGTTTTTTGTATGGCTTAATTTCAGCCATGACCACATGGTTTTGAATATAGTTCAGTTTTTTAATACCCGTCTCAAATGTGGTTGCACTATACAGAACACTTCAGCTGAGTTCTTATTAACACAGAGTTATAGTGAGGCTGGCTCTTGTTTATTCTGGACCCTATATATCCTTTCATGCAATCCAATAAAGAGGTTTTCCAACTATGGGGAAGGAAGAAATTTTCCTCTACCCTTCTAGGTTCTTTCTGATGGTCTAATAATTAAATCAACATGAGACAGATTAACATGAGAAAGTAACCAAATTTAATTATGTATGTACCAACAGGAACCCCAAATACATGAGAGAATCAGAGAACCCCACATACACAAGAGGTTCAGAGATAGAAAGGCAATCTTGAACTAAGCAATGAGGTAAAATGCCCTGAGGCTTCAGAGGGGAGGAGGATAATACACAGGATAAGAGCAGGTGTTCAGTAAACAGAAGTTTGCCCTGCCCTGTAGATAGGTAGTAAAAAATTATTTCTGATAAAAGTTTCTCTTGAGAGGCTTCAGGGTCTCAGTTACCTTCAGCTCAAAATAATACACATGCTAAAGTAGCACATCCTGGAGAGGCCTGTTCTGAACCCTTTTACAACATCTAAAGAACACTGTTGGTTCATATTGAACTTGTGGTCAACTAAGACACTCTTTTTTTTTTTTAAGAAGAACTGTTGTTAAATCAGATTTCCCTATTCTCTATTTGTAACGTTGATCTTTTGACCCAAATAGAAACTTGATATTTTCACAGGGTGAGAGATAAATTAATTTTAGTGATTTTAGCCAGTGATATGCTGGTAAATGTTTTAACAACTGACTCTCCAAATGAATGAATGAATGATAGATATACATATACAGTAAAACCTAGGGTTGCTAGTAACGTGGTTTGCGAGTGTTCTGCAAGACGAGCAAACATTTCTAATACATTTTAACATGGTAAAGGAGCAATATCTTGCGATACAAGTAGTTTGTTTCTGGAACGAATTATGCTCGCAAACCAAGGTATTACTGTGTGTATAATATATATATATATATATATATACTGGGGTACCAAAAATGTATACAAGTAGACACTTTGGTTAATGTTGCTCAAGCAGTAGTTCATCATAATCAGAAGTGTCTGGATGCTGGTGGTAACCACTTTGAGCATCTTTTGCAATTGCAGAAGTCAACTGTGACTTTGCATTCATCTTTTGTTATCGGTATATATTAAATATTACAATTTTAATACAGTTTTCCTTTCTTAAAATGTGTATACATTTTCTCGGCACCCTTTGTATATATAATATCTGCAACTAGAAAAGGTTAACAGATAACCATTAGTTTATAGCAACTTTGTCCTAGTTTTAGGACGTCAGATAGTCATAGTTAGACTATCTGAGCTCAGTGGTTCCCAGAACCAGCCTTAATGCTAATTGACTCAAATCAACCTTTTTTCCAGAATAGTAGCCCAAATTCCAAATTAATTTTAATTAAATAATTAGTATTTCTAAGAATTTTGTTTTCCCAGTTATGGGAACTGTCAAAAACTTATTTTGTAGTTTAGAAGGAATTGATTCAGTAAAGTTTTTGAATCAGTTAAGTTTTTGATTCTGGAAAAGATAATTAATCTACTGTGGTATCAAGGCAGATAGCTCCTGGTCATTTACGCTGAGCATTAGGAGTCAATTCATTTCTTTACCAGTATTCTTTGAGTACCAGCTGGTAGACAGTAGACTCCCACAGTACAGAGTTCAGGAAGCTATACAGTAGTCAATGCATATGTTGTTACCTCCCAACAGCTGTTTCATAGCTTCAGTTCTTTTTAGTTCTAAATTTGAAGACATCTAGTAGTGAGGGGTGAAGGATCTTTTGGAGTCATAAGCACCTTTCTCTCCTGTATTACAACTTTCAGAATCAAAACAAAAAAAATATGCTTGCTTACAGGTGTCTAGTTCCTTGTATACTGACCTACTTGATTTTCTTATAGAAGGGAGAGAATGAACTCTCCTTTATTCTTTCCAGATGTTTTTCACTTCCAGTGTGTAATTATATTCATTTCTAACCAATTGGGTAGATTAGAGTAGTGGTTTTCAAACTGTTTCTCAGAAGCCATGTAAGCTGATGACCTAGAACACAGGGTTCAGCAAACTGCAGCTTGCAAGCCACATGCGGCTCTTTGGGTACGTTCTGTCTCAAAAGTTTGCCAACCTCTGGAAGAGCCAATCCTGTCCTTCACAACAATTTAAAAATTATTCAAGAGCCATAAATATATTTTTTAAAATAAGGAAAATTTAAAGTAATACTATAAATGACACTATGATAGTTTTATTTTAATTTTCAATTTTACTTCAGAGCCACATGTGCGTACCCAAAGAGCCACATGTGGCTCTCGAGCCACATATTTGCTGACCCCTGGCGGTTCTTCCGTCCCAAAAGTTTGCCGACCCCTGACCCAGAACATAGGGTGAGGGGCCCTTCACACTTTTCCTTCTCCCCCAATGCCAAAAACACCTTGCTTTTATATTATGTTTCATTTTAACACCACATAAGACTTAATGTGAACAAATAGTTTTAATGATTATAAAGTTAGAGATCTACTGCGATACAGAATCAAGAATTTGCAGACATAATTTGAAATGGAATGACAAAGTATTTTACCATGTGTACAGTCTAAAATTTCTTGAATACTTTTAGTAGGATGATTTTTTTCTCATGTTCTCTAAACAGTGTGTTTTGCACAGTAAAAGTTTTTAATTTTGATGAAGTCCAGTTTATCAACTTTTTCATAGATTATACTTTTGTTGTCATGTCTAAGAATGGTTGGTCTAACCGCAAGTTTTGAAGGTACTATTTTTTGTGTTCTTCTAAACATTGTGTAGTTTTATAGTTTACATTTAGATTTATGCTCCATTTGAATTAATTTTTGTATCAAGTATGAGGTTTAGGCCAAAATTCATTTTTTTGAATATGGATGTCCAATTTTGCCAAGACCATTGTTGAAAAGACTATCCTTTTCCCACTGAATTGCCTTTGCCTCTGTCAAAAACCAATTAACTATGTTGTATGGCTTTTTTGTGCACTCTCTGTTCTGTTCCATTAATTTGTGCTTGTCCCTTCATCAGCACTACATTGTTTTCATTACTCTAGCTTTGTAAATGTTGAAATCCTGTAGTTAGGCCTCCAACTTTTTTTCTTCAAAATGGTTTTGGTTACTCTGTGTGCTTGGCATGCCCATATAAACTTTCAAGTCAACTTGTTAATTTCTACAAAAAATCCTACTGGAGTTTTGATTAGAATCTTGCTGGATTTGTTGATCAATTTGGGAAGAAGTGGTATCTTTACTATGTAAATCTTCTAATCCATGAATACTCATCTGTTTTTTTAGCCTTGTTTTTAGCCAGTCTCTCATATCTCTGGACTTAATTGAAGATTTCCTTGAATTGGCTAGTAGGGAGAAAACAGAAGATAAAGATAAACCTCTTATTTATAAAGGTGAGTTACAAACATTTCTATATCATAATTTTTTAAAACATTCATTTATACATATTATATAAACATTTTAATAATAAAAGAAAAAATACTACCCAGACCTACAACCCTAATATAGCCATGTTTTTCTCCACTTTATTCTTATTTTTATCCACATAATTATGGTCTTTGTTGTTGCAATTATAGCATAACTTTAAAATTCTTGTTTTTTAAATAGCTTTATTGAGATATAATTCACATACTGTGCAATTCAACCATTTAAAGTGTACAATTGAATGGGTTTTGGTATAATCACAGAGTTGTGCAGCTATTACCATAGTCAATTTTTGGAAAATTGAATCACTGCCTGAGAAACCAAGTACCCTTTAGCTATCACCCTCCTACCTTTCCCTTCCATCTCTTCCTCCCCTAAGCAATCACTATTCTACTTTCTGTTTCTATAGATTGACATTTCTGGACCTTTAATATAAATGGATTCATATAATATGTGGTCTTTTGTGACTGGCTTCTTTCACATAGCATGTTTTCAAGGTTTATTCATTTTGTCAGTACTGCATTCATTTTTATGGCCTAATAAAATTTCATTGTGTGAATAATACCTACATTTTGATTTTCCATTCATTCATGGGTATTTGGGTTGTTTTCACCTTGTGGCTATTGTGAATAGTGCTGATATGAACATTTGTATACAAGGTTTATTTATTTAAACATCTGTTTTCAATTCTTTTCAACATATACCTAGGAATGGAGAATAGGTCATATGATAATTCTATGTTTAACTTATTGAGGAACCACCAAACTGTTTTTCACACTGGCTACACTTTTACATTCTCAAAAGCAGTGTACAGGGTTTCTGATTTCTTCACATCTTCACCAACACTTGTTTTCCTTTTTTTTTTTTAATTATAGTCATCTTAGTGGCTGTGAAGTGGTATCTCATTATGATTTTCATTTGTTTTTCTCTAATGATTAATTTGAGCATCTTTTCATGTGCTGGTTGGCCATTTGTATATTTTGGGGGGGAATGTTTATTCAGGTCCTCTGCCCATTTTTGAATTAGGTCATTTGTCTTTATGGCATTGAGTTGACAGTTTTGGGGTTTTTTTCCTGCATACCAGGCCCTAATCAGATATATGATTGGTAAATATTTTATCTCATTCTGTGGTTGTCTTTTCACTTTCCTGATAGTGCCCTTTGATGCACAAAAGTTTTTCATTTTGATGAAGTCCAGTTTATGTTTTTTTTACTTGTGTTTTTAGTGTCATATCTAACAAACCATTGCCAAGTCCAGGTTCATGAAGATGTACCCCTATGTTTCCTTCAAATAATTATGTAGTTTTAGCTCTTATATTTTTAGGTGTTTGATCTATTTTGAGTTAATATTTTATATACAGTGTGAGGTAAAGGTCCAACTAGTCTTTTGTTATGGCTATCCAGTTGTCCTAGCACTAATTTTTGAAGAGTATTCTTTTCCCATTGAATGGTCTTGGCACCCTCATTGAAAGTCAGTTGACCATGGAGATGTAGATTTATAGAGTTTTATTTAACCTATATGTCACTCCTTAATGCCAGTAACACACTGTCTTGATTACTGTTGCTTTGAAAGTAAGTTTTGGAAGTGTGCGTTTTCCTACTTTGTTATTCTTTAAGATTGTTTTGGCCATTCTGGGTCCCTTTCAATTCCATATAAATTTTAGAATCAGTTTGTAAATTTCTACAGAGAAGTCAGCTTGGATTCTGATACGGATTGTGTTGAATCTATAGTTCATTTTAGGAAGTACTGTCGTCTTAACAATATTAAGTCTTCTGATCCACAAACATGGGATTTTTTACCATTGATTTAGGTCTTTAATTTCTTTCACCAATGTTTTGTCTTTTTCAGTGTATACATTTTTCACTTCTTGTGTTAAATTTATTTCTACTTATTTTATTCTTTTTTTTTAAGATTTTTTTGGGGAATTGGGGGGATGGGAACAGTGCTGGGGAATTGGGGGAAGGGGAACAGACAAGTTGCTGTCGTTTTGTTCTTCAATCTAGTTGTGGAGGATGCTGCTTCACTGGCCCAAGTTGGCACCATCATTGCGCTCTTCCCTGGCGAGGCAGATCAGTTGCCGGCTTCTGGACGGCTGCTTACTGTGGCTGGTGGCCACTCACACTGGCTGCTGGCTACATACGGTAGCCCATGGCAACCCACTGCCACAGGGGCTGCAGCCTACGCCATCGCCGGCGACTCACAGCAGCCCAGCTCCAGGTTGAGCTGTTGTTCAGCATCTTAGCTGTAGAGGGCAGTGTCACTGGCCCTCATATGTGGGATCCGAAACGGGGCCCTCTGGCATCCCAAGCGAGTTCTTAACCATTGCGCCACTCGCCGGCCCTTTATTCTTCTTGATGGTATTGTAAATGGAATTGTGTTCTTAATTTCATTTTTGGATTTTTCATTGCAAATGTGTAAATTGAGTTTTGTATGTTAAATTATTTATTAGTTATAATTGTGTTTTAGTGGATTTCTTAAAGGATGTTTCATATACAAGGTCATGTCATTTGCAAATAGAGATAATTTCCTTCTTCCTTTCCAATGTGGATTACTTTTTCTTGCCCAATTTAGCTGGTTAGAACCTCCAGTATACTGTTGAATTGAAGTGGCAAGAGCAGACATCCTTTTCTTGTTCCTGATCTTTGGGGAAAACAATCTGATCTTGCACTATTATGTATAGTTTTAGCTTTCACTATTTTGTATGAATTTCGCTTTAGTTTTTTCATAGATGCTGTTTAACAAATTGAAGAAGTTCCCTTCTATTTCCAGTGTCTTGTTTTTTTTATCATGAATGTGTTGGATATTGTCAAATCATTTCTCTGTGTCTATTGAGATGATCATGTGGGTTTTTAAAATTCTATTGATATGGTATATCAATAGATATATCATATCTTTGATTATCATATGTTAAATCAACCTTGCATGCCTGGAATAAATCTCACTTAGTCATTGTGTATAATTTTCCTTATATATTACTGGATTCAGTATGCTATTTTGTTGAGGATTTGTACTTCCTTATACGTAAGAGATACTAGTTTTCAGTTTTGTTTTCTCTTATGGTTGTGGTATTAGTCTAATACTGGCCTGACTTAATAAGTTGAGGAGTGTTCCATCTTCTATTTTTGGAAAGAAATGGTATTAATTCTTGTTAAAATGTTTGCCAGAATTCAGCAGTGAAGCCATTTGGTCCTTGTTTTTCTTGTGTGGTGGTGGTGGTAGTGGAGGTGGTGTTACCATTATTATTATTGTAAAATATACATAATATAGTATTTAACATTTTATTAGAGTGAAAAAGGAACCTACAGAATAGGAGACAATACTTGCAAATCATATATCTCATAAGGTGTTAATATCGAGAACACATACAAAACTACTACACCTCAACAAGAAAAAGCAACATGATTCAAAAAATGGGCTTAAGACTTGAATAGATAATTCTCTAAAGATGAGATACAAATGACCAAGAGTCACAGGAAAACATGCTCACTAATCATTAGAGAACTATAAATCTGAGGTGCAACCTCACACGCAATAGGATGGCTACTATTACAAAAAAGTAAATAGCAAGGGGTTGGTGATGATGTGGAGAAATCGGAACCCTTGTGCACTGTTGGTGGGAATGTAAAATGATGCAGCCACTATGGAAAACAGTATGGCTGGTTGTTCCTTAAAAATTAAAACTAGAATTATCATATGATCCAGCAATGCCACTTTTGGGTATATAACCAAAGAATTTAAAGCATGGTCTCAGAGATATTTGTTTACCCACATTAATAGTAGCATTATTCACAATACTGAAAAAGTGGAAACAACCCAAGTATATAGCGGTGGATGAATGGATAAACAAAATGTGGTACACACATATAATGGAATATTACTCAGTTTTTAAAAGTAAGGAAATATTGTCACATGCTACAATATGGGTAAACCTTGAGGACATTATGCTAAGTGAATAAGCCAGCAAAAAAACAACAAATGCTGTGAAATTCCATTTGTATGAGATATCTGAAGTCGTAGAATTCACAGAGACAGAAAGAAAGTAGAATAGTGCGGAAGGGGGAGATGGAGAGTTTAATGGCTATAGAGTTTCAGTTTTACAAGATAAAGACGTTCTGGAGACCTGTTAACACTACTGAACTGTACATTTAAAGTGGTTTAGATGGTAAATTTTGTGGTATGTGTTTTTTACCACAATTTTTAAAATTATGCAACCAGCTGCTAGTGGAGGTTGGGTGTAAAACAGCGTTTTTGTTTTGTTTTGCACAAAATCTTTCCAATTTATCTGTATTTGTCTTTCATTAAAAATACAAATCTAAAAAACAAAATAAAACTGGAAAGAGATGTGGGACAGGAAACTGAAAACTCCATATTTGTTTGTTTAGTCTGTAAGGCAAAGTAGATTTGTATCAAAAATTAAATAGACAGGGCCAGCCAAGTGGATCGTTGGTTAAGTTGGCTTGGGAGCGCAAGTTCTGAGCCAGTTTGGATCCCACATGGGCCAGTGATGCTGCACCCTCTACAGCTAAGATGGTGAACAACAGCTCGACCTGGAGCTGGGCTGCCATGAGATGCTGGCGACAACGTAGGCTGCAGTGGGCTGCTGTGAGCTACCGTGAGTGGCCTGCAGCCAGCTTGAGCAGCCGGCAGCTGGCGTGAGCTGCCATGAGCCACCGTGAGCAGCCGTCCAATGGCCAGCGACCAACTTCCTCAGCTGGGAAGAGTGCAATGATCACAATACCAACATGGGCCAGTGAAGCAGCGTCCTCCATAACTAGACTGAAGAACAAAAGGACAGCAACTTGTCTGTTCCCCTTCCCGGATTCCCCAATGCTGTTCCCCTCCCCCAACTCCCCAATTAAAAAATAAAAGATATGTGATGAGTACCTACCAGGTACTCCGCCAAGGATTAGGACATATCCAAAAATATATATATTACTACCTAAGAGTTTACAGTCATAGTCCCTCTCTT